AGGATAGGCTCCAAAGCTACACAGAGAAACCCTGACTCAAAAAAAAATGAATTAAGCAATGGAAAGTAAAGACATAATTTTTGCCCTTCTTTAACAGCCTGCTCTGTCTGTTTCTGCTGCCTGTTTGAGTTCCTCCCTCCCTCCCCCTCCCTCCCCACTTCTTTTCAATCTCTGTTCCCACCTGCTCCTTCCCATGCCAACTCTCCATCCTCTCTCTCTTCATATTGTCCCTTTCTCCATTCTCCTTCCTTCTGTCCCCCTTCTTCCTTCTGTTCCTCCCCTCCCCATCCTCATCACTCTTCCTTCTTTCTCTTACACTCTCCCCCTCTCCTTTTTGCTTACACCTTATCTTCACTATTTCTCCTCTTTACGAGTCCTCTCCTCTTTCCAATTCCCCTCTAACTCAAGTGTTACACAAGTGTACCAAACTTGTGTAAAAGAAGACATTCCTTCCCAGAGGGAACTCCAAAAGACTCAGGAGGAACACAAACTTATAAGGCTTAAGGTATGAACAACTCACAAGTCTCAGGAAATTTCCTGAAACCTAAAAGATCCTCAAGGTTAAAGAAAGGGTAATTAGTATCTGCTGGACAGAGATTCTCTAGGAGCTCCAGGATGCAGCTTTTTTGAGTCCCCATCCACATTAGGGTAGAATTTTCCGTGGTATAGCTGTAAATAACCCTCGTCCATACTGATGTGAGAAATTCTAGTAAATCACTGTTTGGCTAAACTGGCCTTTCATGAAATCTTTTCTTTTCTCTGTTGCCCAGAATGACAAACAGGAATTTGTTCCCATCTCCCCAAGAAAAGTCACACAATACTCCATCTCTTGTCTCCACCCTTTTCCACCACCTCTACTTCTCCTCCCTTGGATCTATAGCCCTGTACCTCAGTTCCAACCAGGTATGTCCTAGTCCTCATTCAGGTTCTAGAGTGAATGCATCCTTTAACCCAGCCTTCCTTTTCTGACTCTAAATCTCCCACCTGTCAGTGTGTCCTATGGATGTACTGATGCAGAACCAACTTCTGAGTCCTTGAATGTCATGGGACCAGGTTATGATATCATTGTCCCGCTTATTCTCTGCCTTGTGACCAGCTTCAAGTCTCTACATGAGGTGCTGTCCCCAGGATAAAAGAACTTCTCTGGTGAGGTCTTTCATGGCACCAAACTGGGAGGCTCCAGGATTTCCTCAGTCTACCAGTGACAGTGCAGCAAAATTCATATCCCACTGTGATGCAGCCCAGAGTGTAGACAGAGACAGGATCCATCAGCAGGAGCAAAGAATGCAGCCCAGTGATGGATTCCCCAGGTCAGATTCCAGGAATCAGTAGTCCAGCTGAAGGAACAATGCTTAGGTTGATCTGGATATGAGTGGGTGGGGGTGGAGAGTGGGGAGCAGGCATGTGATGGTGACGTCTAGAGGAACCCTGAGCATATGGATCTATGCAGAAGAGTACCATGACATTGGCCAGAGGACAGCCTTGGGGGGCAGAGGACAGCCTTGGGAATCAGTCCTTCCATCTTTTTGAGAGTCTCTGATGATTTCACAGCTGTGTACTCCAGGCTAAATGACTCAGTAGCTCCCAGGCATTCTCCTATCTGCACCTCCCTTCCGACAAGAGTACTGACATTATAGATATGTGCTGTTGTGCATGACTTTTTTATGGGTTCCGGGGATTTGAACCCAGGTTCATATGTTTGCAAGCAAGTGTAATACCCTCTAGGGTTGCAAGAACAGTTTGTTTTTTGGCTTTTTTGTTTGTTTCGTTGGTTTTGTTGCTTTGTTTGCTAATGAAAGATTTAAAAGGCAGGGAAGAAACATTACTGGAGGTCTTGGGGAGCCCCTGAAGAGTCATCATATGAAAACCCAAATTAAAAGTGTGGTTGTTTGAGAACCCATAGTATCTAGCAGTTCAATACCATTGTCCTCCACATGGTGGTGCTGTTGGGGAGGCTTAGGAGGTGTGGCCTTGCTGGAGGAAGTATGTCACTAGGGATGGGCTTTGAGAATGTAAGGCTCCTGCTACTTGCAGTTTGCTTTCCCTGGTGCTTGTGGTTCAAGGTGTGAGCTCTCCATGTTCCTCCCCAGCTCCGTTATGGATTCTACCTCTCTGGAACCATAATCCAAAATAAATTCTTTCTGCTGTGAGTTGCCTTGGCCATGTTCTTTATCCCAGCAACAGCAGAGTGACTAATAAACAGAGACTCAAGGACAAATAACAGACTCAAGCGGAAGATTAGGGATAATTTATTAGAATTTCACAGGCAATCCCCAAGGCCCACAACTGTCAGTCTCAAAGCTGTGCCGAGGAGCAGAATGGAAGAGCCAAGCTGGCATGACAGTCAGCCATATGGTGGCAGGCAGGCACACAACGAAGAGGGGAGCTTTAGAAAGGAGTAGAAAAGTCCAGTACATTATCTTCAGATGAGCCTCTGGCCAGATTCCTGCCCCACCCAATTGGATTAACCCTTAAAGATAG